TTACAATGCTATTAATTACTTATGAAAAATCATGAAGACAGAAAAGCAATCAGCATTGGACAGATTCTTTAACCCTCGCAAACGGAAAAAAACATGACTAATAAAAATGCAAGACCGTGTATATATGTATTTTTATTATTACATATGAATAAATGTAGTAAGAAAGTATATATTTTTTATTTTTTGGGGGTCTCCGGAACGAATTAATCAAATTCCCATAGAAATCTATGGTAAATCGATAACCGGTTAACGAATAATTCGGATAGCAAACAAAGTCTTGGAATGGATTATGTTCGTTAACCGATCACCCACTGTATTTTGTATTGAAAAATAAGTATCTATGATTGTTAATAATAATTAAAGATTTAATTTACCACTTTTGAAATTGATGTTACTTGTTAAAAGAAATTTCAAATTATTAAAAATGTTAATATAAATCTTGATAGATTATAATCAATAAATGAAATTAGTGTAAAAATAAAATATATCATAGCTACTAATGATTTTTAGTCATAAATAATGTATTTAATTAATTTTTTAAATAATTAAAGAAATTAGTCTTTATCTAGATGAAAAAATTACCAGATTTGTATTGATGGTATTTTTAGTCTTTTAATAATTCTCAGAAATATATGAATATTGTTTGTAATAATCACTATCTATAAAATATACATTATATAATGGCAATATTTAAATAAAAATTTTTGCAGATTTTGAAAATACTATACATTTTGTCTTTAATAACATTTATTAATAATTAGATTAGATAAAATATATTAATTCTGATAAAGGAATGTTATTAAAAAGATTACAAATATCAAAAATCTTTTAAGAAAAAATAAAAATGATTAATTTCTACTGTGGTCTTGTTTCTCTTTGATAAAAGGTAGGGATGGAATGAGAATAAACTACAATAATTTAAAGTGGCTCTAATCTTTATTTATGGAAAGAAATTTTTATAAGAACAGTGCTTTTTTATTTTTAAACTATTTTATCACCCAATAGTGTAGAAGAATTGGCAATGTTAATCAAAATTTTTTAATTATAAAATGAATTGAAGTAAAATAATACTGTCAGTAATCTAATTTTAAAAACCACTTATTGTTTTTATAAAACTATGATTCAATTTTTTAAAAGTATAGTTTTAATAAGAAATTTTAAAGTTTAACTAATTCAAAAGCATAATTTATATAAATATGTTTTGTGTAAATGTTTCTTGTTACAGTTAACTATAATGAACAATTAAATTTGACATGCATTTGAGATTATTAAATTTTTAATAATCCTTTGAATGAAAAGAGATAAAGATCTTAATATGTTTCATGATTCTTATTCTTATTAACATCTTTACTTTCAGGCAATTTATTATTATTCATTCTGTGTGATTATTAATTATTATATCTGTTTAGAAATTATGATACAACTCTTTGTTCATTGAATTATTATCTGTTGTTATAGTGTGTTTGTCAGCAGTAGTCATTTCAAATATTCATTGTGACTTTTCCAAATAATGAAAACATTTAGCCAAATATTTACATTAGACATAGAAAAGGAAAACAATTTGTAATACAGAAAATATGCTACTAAAAAAGTAGATTAACTGTAATTTAATACAAAAACAATTTCTTAACAAAATTTTATATGTAAAAAATGATTTTATTATTAATAAATTAATCCATTCTAATGTGTCTATTTTATTATTATTATTTTTTTATATTTCATTATTATAAGTGTAAAATATATCTTTGTAATAGTAAAGTGAAGGAAAATTTATTTTAAAAATTTCAGAACTTCAATTTAAATATATATTTATCATAAATTTTCTGTTGTATTTATTTCTAATCTTTGAATCCTCACTTATGTAATACAAGTGAAGTAAGAAGTATATATATTGTATACTTATACACTATATAGAGAAAAACTTATATACCATGATTCATAATATACATAAATATGTATATTCTGGTAGATAAGTTTTCATCTATATAAACATTTCAACAAAGTTTTCATCTATATATCATCTATGTTAATATAACATTAGCAACTGACTGAATAACAAATTACATTAAAAATTTGATGCAATGAACTAATTTTTAACAAAAGTTATTATTAACACATGAAATTAAAAAAGTTCTTACTACAGTTCTTAAAATAAGGATGATTTGACAGATATGATAGTGTCCTCTAGTTTCTCACAAAAAGTAATTTTTTAAAAGTAAAAAATTTCTAAATGAATTTTCTTTTCCTCTAAATTAACATTTTTCGTTTTTATTACTTTAGAATGTTCAAGTATTTGATGTTATTGCTTACATTATTTTTTGCAAATTTGTAAACAAACTTAACCAAATAAAATTTATATAAAAATACTTAGAATAATTAAAATGTTATATTGCTTGCTTTTAAATGAAATTTTTTACTTTTATTTTTTATATATCAGAATTTTTGTATATGAAAACTAAACTAATCATTTAAAAGTTAATTTTCAATATTTCTGCAGAGACATTTTTGAGTTTTCTTCTTTTTCATGTAAGCTGTTGTAAAATTTTTTATTATAATAGTCTTTTCAATAAATTTTGAAAAACTTCATTAAATTGGAAAAGTACTTTTCGGAATAGTTTCTTATTAACTATGTATATTAGATGATTTTTATTTAGTATTTTAATCTGTATTCTGTTTTTCTATTATTTGAAACTTATACTGTTTGAACTCCAAACTATGAAATTTATATGTTGGCATAAACTTAAAGTATATACTTACACATGTTGAAATATTCTAATTTTGTAGATAATTATCAATACATATATACATGCAAGCAAGTGCAAACAGTTTTATGATAATTAAAGAGAATCTAATTAAATATTTTTAATGTTAATAATTGAAGTAGAAACAAATGGTGTGTTGATTAATAGAGAAAAATTTAAATATTGATAGCATAATTGAATTATAATTTATAGTAAAAATAAACAGAAAGCTGATAAAGTAAAACTCAGTTCAGTCACTTGTTTATTCTGAAAGTGTTAAATTGCAAAATGGTTTGTTACTGCAGGTTTAAAAATAAACAGTTTTTCACTATTTATCTTAGTAATAGATTAAACCAATAAAGAATCATTTGTGTATTTAAACAGAAGCCTGCAAAACAGTAAGTAGTCAACAACAAATAAATCTGATCAGTTTCTCATGATAAAAGGAATCCTTAATATATAAGTTTTTAAAATAACCTGTGTACTGAAATCATACTGAAATTAAAAATAGATACAAAAGTGTCACAACCTTGAAAAATATATACAGTAACAAAATAAGAAAAAATAAAACTTTGAGAGAGAATATTTTAATAATTATTTTTAACTTGTGGTTATTGTTATGACTATTATTATTTTGATTTAATTGTTTGGATTGTAATATTCAAAAAGAATATTTCTTTGTTCTTAGAAATCACTAAATTTTTCTGTCTGACTGATAAAATAAATTTTTTGCATTAAAGATTATCTAGTATTATTGAATCATGTAATCATATTTAGATTGGTTTCTAAATATAAAGTGTTTTATCACAATGTAAGCTTATTTAATGCTAAGTAATTTCTATTGTGTAAATTATTTTAACTTTTTTAGAAATTTCATTTTAAAATTTTATTTGATATTTTACATATATATACATACACACACATACATGCACATATAACTTAAAAATTTAATTTTATGACCATATTATTGAAATTAATTTATTTGTTGAATAATATTTTAGTGTTGTTCTTTTACACAGGAACAGATTTTAATTAAAATTTATTAATAAAAGGTAATATATTAAAATTCCATTTTTATAACATACATAATTATCATACAGTAAATTAAATGCTAATATATTAATAACAGAATGTTTTATGTTAAATGTAATAAATTTTATAGTTGTATTTGATAGTTTAACGGTTTAAACTAAGATTTAACAGAAATGTTGAATACTTTTAAATGTTTTTATAAATTTTGTTAATTTATGTGTGTCAAGGACTGCCTAATCTTAAATCAAATTGGATGTTTCTTTGTTAGTGTAATATAAATAAGATGTATTAATTTTATTTATTATTGTAATATTGTTTTTTTATGATTTGAAAAAATAGAAAAATAACATTGTGTGTAACTTGATTATCTATATTTAAATTCATTTAGCTGTTACTGGTAATATATAAATAAAGTCTGCAGTTTCAAAGGTAGCATATGAGTAAAAGTAAAAAAAAATTATCTATTTATGTAACAAAAATGTATAAAACAGTTTTTAGTCTTATTTGTGAAACTTCAAGTTTAAATCTAAATTGAAATGATACATTTTTATTGTGAATGATGATAGAATTAATAGGATATCTTCCTTATAATTTGTGATCATTTGGTGATGATGAATAAAAGAATATATTTTTATTAAGGTATTTATTTGAATTTAGCTAAAATGCTTGTTTTGTTTTATTTTAACAAGAAACTAACCTTTACTTTAGAAGTTTTTACATGTGTATGTGTTAGCCAATTTTTTTCATGTGGGTGAACAACCTTGGGAGTATCTTTGGTATTGATGTTGATGCTAGATTGTTAGCATGCGTATTTAGTGTATTAAGTATTATTAAGTGTGTATGTTAAGTGTGTGTATTATTAAGTGTGATTATGTTAATATAAAAAACAATACATATATAAATAAAATTATATTATTATAAATGAAAACATTTTATTACTTATTTAATAATTGTTTGATACTTATTACTTAAATTAATCCAGATGTCTCTGCTTTACCTGAAGGAGACATCTGAATGAGTAATGCATCTAGGTATATAAATTGAAAGTAAAAATAATATTCAGAAACATCAATGTTAATGCAATAAATATTTATGTTGTATTTAATTAATCTAGATAACCTTGATATTTTATGTTAACTAAATATCTATTTTGAGTAATTATAAGTTACAAACTTTCTTTTAATATTTAGATATTATAGTAGAAACTTTTTTTTTTTTTGTTTCAGATAAAATGTGGTGACATAATTGAAAATAGTATCTCAAACGAGTTATCATTTAACATTTTTTTCTTCTCTTCCTTACCATGAGTCAGGAAGATGAAAAATGGGCTTGTAGTTATTGTACATATGAAAATTGGCCCAAATCTATCAAGTGTACAATTTGTTTGTCACCACGTCCCCAACATTTGATTTCAGATGTAGCTCAGCCAAGTGAAAGAGATATTTATAAGGTAAGACTTTTTAAAGGTTCAACTTAAAATGTTTTTAAGTTTAATTTATTCTTGTAATATATCACACAACACAACACAGCAATTTAAAAAGTTTTTATATATATATTTACTCAATTAAAATTCTTCAGAGACTTAAATCTCAACTTCAGAATGATATATATATATATATATATATACATATTTCACTTTAAAGCACTTTGCTAAAATTATACTTTTCTGTTATATTCATGTTTATTTTTGGTACTTTCTATGCTTTTAAGTAGATTTTGGGATTATTTTTAATTTATTTTTTTCTTTTGTAATTTTTTTAGGCCTAGTGCTATTGTGCACTTAATAAATTATGGTGTATATATGTTTTTAGGTATTTATATGCAATGGCAAGTGAAGAAAAAATGATTTTCTTCATAGTGGACGTACATACAAACTCGTAGGCAAAAATCTTGAGAAATATCATGTCATCAGACTAAGGAAAGCAGATGGCTATTTTACGAAATTACTACCATTTGAGTCATAGTGACCTGACTGTGGATGTGTGAGGACACACATAATGTACATGCATACATACATACATACAAGAAAGACATTGACTATACACAAAATGTTTTAGAAAAGAGGATAAGGGAAAGGGGGAGAAGAAGGGAGAGGAGATAGACAGTAGAGAGGAGATAGATAGTAGAGACAGTAGAGACAGTAGAAGATCCCTCTGAACAGTGTACATAAGGCTACAGTATCCTCTATGTTTGATGTTGGCATGCAGTTTTTAGGCTGCAAGGCCGTAGTCCCCCAAAGGGTCTAAAAGAAAACCTGAGTGTAGTGAACACCAATAATTGAGTGCCACCACGAATAGTTAAGTGTAGAAGTTAGTGCCAAGTGGCTGTTAGTAGGAAGACTTATAACTACTTAATACAGGATACTTAATCCTTAATCAGGATACGAAATTAATTCGTTTTGAAACTGAGGTCGTATCATGAAAATGTCGTAAGGTGAATCATTTTTTCCCATACGATTACATGTAAAACCAAATAATTCGTTCCAACACGAAAAATACACTCAAATTAAAGCTTAGTAGTACATTAAAAATCTTAATCTAAATATATATAACTCAAAGGTGACTGACATAGTGATCTATCAACGCACAGCCCAAACCACTGGACAGATCAGGCTGAAATTTGGCATGCAGGTAGATGTTATGACATAGGCATCCGCTAAGAAAGGATTTTGATCAATTCTACCCCCAAGGGGATAAAATAGGGGATGAAAGTTTGTATGAAACTTTTAAACCGATTGGGCTGAGACTTTGCATGCATAAAGCTACTATGACGTAGGCATCCCCTAAGAAAGGATTTTGATAAATTCCACCCCTAAGGGGATAAAATAGGGGATGAAAGTTTGTATAAATCTTCTTAGATTTTCGACTGATTGAACTGAAATTAAAGATTGGAGCTACTATGATGAAGACGTCCGCTTAAATAGGATTTTGATAAATTCAACCCCCATGGGGATAAAATAAGGGATGATGGAGGATGTAAATGTATTAGTTTGAACCTATCAGTACCTAATGGAACGAATAAATTAAGACGAACAAAATAATTTTTAGTTCTAAATGTTGACAATAGATGGCGTTAGTAGTATTTTAAAACGCGCTATCGTTGTGTTTTCACTGAGTTACATATACCCGATGATGAGTGGCCGCCGTATCTAATAGTACATACTATACCTAAATATTTCTAGCGGATTATATTTGACGATTTTGGCTGTTCTTTTCTTGGCATATTTTGGATTGCATTTGCTTTGTTTCGGTTTAGTAGTTTTGGTTATAGACTCTGCTTTGTATTTGGCATTTGTTTTGTTTTCGTTTGGTTTAAGTATAGGTTTTGTCGGTTAGACTTTTTTAAAATGGCTAAAGAAAATCTGAACGTTAATGGAGAAGTTGAAGAATGTACTGTCGTCCCTATTGTTGGTGACGGTGCATGTTTGTTTCGTGCTCTCTCTTATTTAATGTACGGAACACAAGATACAGCGATGGAGTTTTATGTTGCTTGCTCACGAGTAAGTTCACCCAATAGCTTGATAGTTTTAGCGCCTAATGACAGATTAGTTAAGAATATTGTGTGCAAAGAAGTTTTGTAGGCCCTAATTTTTTACACACGCTAAACAAAAGTAAAGCCACAAAAACTATACCTAATTAATAATAATACTTCTTAATGCGAGCGAAGCTGCAGGCAAAAGCTAGTAAATAAATAAATAACTATAGTAAGGAAAACACTGAAAAATGCATTTTGTAGTTGTAAATGTATAAATAACCATAATAGAATAATAATTGATAAAAAAAAATGTAGTTTTATTTGCACTTTATCTTCGAGGATAGATGACAGTGGAGGTGTAAACTGGTGGCGGAAGAGAGGAAAAAAGGAAATGATACTAAAACTTAACTTACATAACAAAATATAACAATAACTTAAAAATAACTTAGAAAAGATAAAAATTAGTGTTGTTTTATATATATATATTTAATCTTTATTCACGGCTTTTTGCTTTCTTTCCTTCACTTCCACCAGCACTTTCACTGAATAGAGGTTGCTTCATAAAATATCTATCCAAAGAGGCTTTGCCTACTTTTTAAAATGTTTCTAAAATGACTTAGGCAAATGCCATTACTCCAAGCAGCAATACAGCCAGTGTAAACTTTTCGGGATGTTTCTTTTCAATAAAATCAGTTACTTTCCGATAATACCTCGAGATTTCCTTTATTGAGCGAGATCCTTCCACGACGAAGAAAACACGGGACTGAGACTGATGAAAAGAAATGAATAAAAAATGGCACTGTGAACTAATGTAACGTCATATGGCGAGTTTTTGTTTGTATCGTGGAGCAAAAATATGTTCGAATTTTGTGTCGTATCCTGAAAATTTCGTATGCTGGGGCGTTCGTATCCTGAGGTACCACTGTACTAATAAAACTGAATACAGTTGACCCCCCCTATAACACAGTAGATACATTCCGTTCTTTATGAAATTGATGTTCTACGAGTCCTTAAATACATGAGCCAATCACAGCCCGGCACATATGCAGTTTATAGACTACGGCTGTTTGAAAGATTTTCTTCCATAAAATTAATCGATTCTAGACTAATTCAACTCAACATTTCCAAAATATGTGTACTTTTTTGAGAATAATCCATATAAACTATGCTATAAACAAAAAATTGTAGGATTACTTACCGAGTGTGCACCGTTTGACGACGCCATTAAAGCTTGTTTTCGTCATGGAGTTTGTCATCAAATGGTGCTCGCATGCTTCCTGATAAATTATTTTTTTTTCAAAAAATTTGCTGAACTTTGGAGACATCATTAATATAAATATAATTTTTATGAACGTTAAATAATAAATGGTTTTTAGTAGGTCTGCTGCTCGTTTAAACTCAATGGTTTGTGCAATATCCGCTGTTGGTTTAGATTTGACCAATCCTGTCGCGACACAAGTCGGCAATGACGTTTACTGAATTATGCGAGTTGGCGTTTACTGACACGAGTCGGCGATGACATTTTACCATTATATAGGAGTCTCTTTTAGCGTGTTTATACGAATACGGTTGCAATTTTTTCACCATTATATATGAATCTGAATTATACGAACCTGTTTTTAAGGGGGTCTATTGTATATTGTGCCTGTTTGCTTTCATTGCTGATTATACTGTACCTATCCAGGCAAGAGCAGGTACTATAGGCACTAAAAGGAGTTCATTTTATTGTCTGTATAAAGCAAACTAAAAGTTTCTTTAAATTGTTCTGTTGTTCACAAGAAATTATTCCTTTGCTATGATATTGTAATTAAGTATTATCATGGTCATTACATTTGCTGAAATAAAATTTCTTTTAACTTCAGCTTCTCATCCTCAGTATGTAACTTTTATTGTCAATGAGTACCTAGGCACACATTTTGCTGATTAGCATAATATTCCTGTGTGTTGTGTGTCTTAAATTTCAAAAGTGTTTAATCTCAATTGAGTAAATACAGTATTTGAAAATCTAAACTATGCAGGAATTTTTTGTTTTTAAACAAATGAATGAATTTGCTTTACTTACTAATTTTTTTGTAATGATTTCTGTTAACTTTTTTTTTTTTTTGAATTTTAAAATAAGATACTGCGGTGCCTCATTCTTTGAATTTAATTCATTCTAGGAGAACATTCAAAGTATGAGGCAGTTTTTACTATTAGAAATAATGGAAAATGAATTAATCCATTTCTAGACCTTAAATGATATGTATTTCGATAAATTTAAAACAGCAAACATATAATTTAAGGTAAAAATAATACAGCTAAATGTTGTAATAATAAATTAAAACATGAAAACAATAATAGAATATATAAATACTGTATAATAAAATGAAAATTGCATTTACTGATATCATATTGTCAACTTAGACATCTTATGCATGGCTCCAGATTTCCAAACAAGTACTGCTTCAATGCTTTGCAATAAGTTTGTTTTTCATCTGAATTGTTGACATTACACCCTTCCTCTGTTTGTTAACCTTTATTGCTTCCATACATTTCTCTGATACCATGATTAATAGGTAAAGATTATATTGGGTTGAACATAAATTTTTAGTGTATTTTTAACAGTTGTCCTTATTTAACATAGAAATGTGATTTAATTATAATGATTGTGAAATTTAACCAGGGCTGTGGAGTCGGAGTCGAGAGGAATTTCTAGTCAGAGGAGTCTGAGTTGGAAAAAAACGTNTTCAATTTAAATATATATTTATCATAAATTTTCTGTTGTATTTATTTCTAATCTTTGAATCCTCACTTATGTAATACAAGTGAAGTAAGAAGTATATATATTGTATACTTATACACTATATAGAGAAAAACTTATATACCATGATTCATAATATACATAAATATGTATATTCTGGTAGATAAGTTTTCATCTATATAAACATTTCAACAAAGTTTTCATCTATATATCATCTATGTTAATATAACATTAGC